TTGCCTCTTCTGCAAACCGAGACCTTGCAAAGCCACAGAAGCTCCGTCTCTCCCCAGGCACCTTCCCCTTGTGGTCAAGAACTGTTTAGGCGGAGGTCAGAAACAGGTTAAACCGCCCGCCTCGGAGCATCGGCGGCTGGAAGACTTAAAAGAGGAGCTAAGCGGGCTTCGTTTTCGTAGAATACCCCGGAGTAGTTTATATATTGCCAAAAGATCTTCCAGTCCAATATCCCCGGAAACAAATCTTGCCGCATTCAAGACTAGAAGTTTAGAGGAAGGTGGGGTGGGGCGGGTGAGGTTATGTGGTCGATCTCTGGATCCCCTGCTTACCGATCAGTCTTAAAACAGTTTTCGTTGAGTTTCTTTCTTTCTTTCTTTCTTTCTTTCTTTCTTTCTTTCTTTCTTTCTTTCTTTCTTTCTGTCTGTCTGTCTGTCTGTCTGTCTGTCTGTCTGTCTGTCTGTCTTTCTTTCTTTCTTTCTTTCTTTCTTTTTTCGTGGTAGCGTAGGATCAGAGGTGGGGGATGCGCCGTCCTGGTGCTGTTCACCCTCTTCAAAGTTTCACACACACACACACCCCGGACTCTTTTCGGCTGTGTCGTGACGATCAGCGGGGGATCGACAATTTACGCAGTGGCCGAGCTTTCCAAAGAGCAGAGGTGTCTTTCGTGGCGGCCTGCTCCGTTCCCTTTCTGCGGAAAAGGGATACCCGTCCAAAGGAAGCGAAGCAGGGACGTCAGGGAGCAAGTGTTAAGCCCCCTCGCACCGCGAAGACGCGGGCTTTACACAGGCTTAAGGCTGGCTGGATCGCGCTCTAGGGAAGCGCCTCTGTCTTTGCTTGGGCAACCCCGACGAGCCAAAGCGCTGAGCCACAGAGAGGAATCCATGCTTCCCCCCCCCCACCGCCCTCGCTCCATTCCTGCCCTTAGAACCATCCCATCCCCCCTTTAACGATTTTGGCTTGAAAGGAGAGGTCAAGGGCCCAAAGCGCGTTTCCTCCGCGGGCCTTCCCTGCTCTGCTTTGCAAGCAAGGGCGCTTAAGAAGAAGAAGGCGGTATAAGTGACTTGTGTTCAGGCGTCCTTGAAACGGATGCTTGATTGGTGCCCTTCTCCCAACGAGAAGGCTTTTAGCGGGACCTCTCCAGCCGCAGTTCTGTAGCCCACTTGGAAATAAAGGCTGCCTTGAATCCCATCTGGATGAACCCAAATAAATCTGCAAGGAAAAGGAGTTTCTTTTAAGCAAACCCACCGGTGTTAAATAAGCGGCCTTTTTACAGGCGGTTCTTTGATCTCCAATTAAACGTGGTTGTTTTTCTTTCAGTTTTAGAAGTTCTACCGCCAATTGAGCTAGAGAAAAATGACACATCTCCCTCCCTCCTTCCCTCCCTCCCCGACACGCAGATGACCCACAGCTCCAAAGACTGATCTATATGGATTGGGGCGGGGGGGGGGGGGCGAAAAGGGAAGGGGGTAATGAAGAAGAATGAAAATGAGAAAAACATCACTCAAAACTCAAGGAAGGTTATGAGGATACCTGAACGTTCGGGCTCTTTTTAAAAAAAACTCGTGATTTGTGAGGGCCTCTGTGGCTATTCGTGTAGCAATACAAAATCAGTTTAAATTACTGATATAAGGAGCCAGCGAAAGTTGGATAAAGGCATATGACGCTATTGATTAAATGAGCCACGATCTGCTTTTGACTTCCTTTCACAGAGGAAAACTCTACTGCTTGGAAATATCCAACCAACTACCTGCATACGGTTCCTACTGCTTCCTCGTTTAGCAGTACAACATAGGGCCCTGCCCCTAAAGAATCCATAGAATTAACTGCTGGGAAATTAAGTACCTTAGCCACCACTAAATAATAATAATAATAATAATAATAATAATAATAATAATAATAATAATTAGAGCAAAACGGGACAGACCTGGGCCAAATCATGACAAACGGGAAAGACGCATCCCGGACTACAAGCGAAGTGGCGCAACCCGATCGTTTTCATCCACAGGTCTCCGCTCCTCTTGGGAGCCCTTTGCGCTGCCATTTCACCCCGATCCCAGAATTGCACGCCAGTTTTGTCTGGGAGTAACTGCCAAGGCAGCTCTCTTGCGTTAATCTGGGCGATCGCGGCTTCCAGATTTAGACGGTGGCTTTAGAGTAGACGGTGGCTTTAGCTTGGCAGCTCAGATGCGGATAAAAGTCCCCAAGCTTGGGCTGGGCTGTGTGTGTGTGTGTGTGTGTGTGTGTGTGTGTGTGTGTGTGTGTGTGTGTTGGAGACACCGGTCTTTCAAGCCTTGCCTTGAAGGTCATTTGCGTTCTATTCTTTACAACGCTTCTATTATACCCGCTAAGCCGGTGTTCCCTCCGGCATTATTCAGGCGGTACCAGCCCTGAAGACGACCGTGATCTCTTCCAGAGACATTCCTGGTAGGAACAAACGTTGGCCTGAGATATCGGCCTCCGCGATCTCCCCTCTCGCTTTCGACACCTAGGCCGAAATCCAGTCCCTGCCCGCCTTGGGAAAGCGGATGCCGGAGCAGCCAAGGTCAGCTCAAGTTCAAGTTCAGGGTTGCCCCCAGATGAATGGGGCGACGAGGGAAGGGGCGGACGGGACTCCGATTCCTCCCTTCCCTTCTGGGGTTGGGGGGAGGCGGACGGAGGACAACCGGAGGGACCAGGGCTTTGGCATTTGGGAGCCGCGCCGGAGCAGGAGCTCTTCTTCCTTGGCTCCAGGCAGCTTCTCCATCGCCTCCAGGAGCCGAGTAACCGAGCTTCCAACCGCGACCGGGCTTGGGGGAAAGGATCCCTCCTTCGGCATCCTGCGCTGGACCCTGACGGCTCCCTGGAGGGAAGCAGGGACGGTGACAGGGTGGATGCCGTCCCCGCCAAGGCTCTTCCAGCTAAAGGCTCCAGCCTGGAACAAGGACTCTCGCCCAGTCCGCCTTTTGGGGAGGTGGGGAGGGGCTGGAATGCGGGCTGGAGGGAACTTTCACCTCTCTTAAGCCGGGTCGGTTTTGGGAACCCCAGGCTTGGTTTAGTTAAACGATCGCGGTGCAACCACGGCCTGCAATTTCAGCGCACCCGGCTCCGGCTCTCCCGGTTTCTCGCAGAGGCAGTTTTCACCAGCGGGCGCCGCTTCTCCTAGGGATCCGCGTCCTGCGCTCACGGTTTTAATCAAACTAAGAAAGGAGGAAGAGGAGGAGGACGGTGGGCCTCCTAATCTTAAGAGAGGAACGGGAGGTTTTAATAGTCGTTTGATTGCTTCAATGTTTTGTTTTGTTTTTTGCATTGCACACTCGAGAATGAATGAATGAATGAATGAATGAGAAGAAATGGATCCAGCGCCTGAGAGTAGAGCGGATGAAACCCTGACTCAACGGGAGAATGAAATTAGGGTGGCAACCTGAACAGGAGCTGTGGGGAAGGGGAGGAGACCGTGGATTATCTCCGGCCTCCACTTTCCACTGCAGAAAGTTGGGTTTATCTACAGGACCCAGATATCATGCCTTTTTTTTGGGGGAGGGGGGAAGCCGGCACGGGAGTAAAGTGGAAGTAAGTGGAGGTTTTATACTCAAGCAAATCGATCCGCCTAGGATTCCAACTCGGACTCTTCTCTTCCTTGCCACGGCTGAGATCGTTGTTCGCGAGCAACCTGGAGTGGAGGACCGGAAAGAAACAACGCCGCGTCTTTTGGGAGTTGTTGGGCCAGGATCATGCCAGGATCACGAGTCGGCAGGGCTTAGGAAAAGGAAGGAACTGCTGTGGTTGCTTTCAGTATCCAGGCGGTTGACATTAGGAGGTTTTGGGGGGAAGGCCAGGCTTTCGAAGACTTCAAGCTGTCAAGCCCGATTCCACTCCAGATTCTTCGAAAGAGGCTTTTTTTAAAAAAAGCTTTCCTGAGTGAGAATGGCAGGTTCAGATCGGAGGACAAAAATGTATTCAGCCTCACCAAAGCCTAGCTGCATCTAAGTAGAAGTGAATTTAGGGTGTTTTTTTTTTTTTAAAAAAAGAGGGGGGTCTTTAAATTTCCACTCACGTAGAGCAGGATTTTATATTTTATAGTGATAACGTGAAGGGGGTTATAGTTGCTCCAGCATATTAATTCATATACACTGTCAATATTCTCCTTGGCCCTTATAGCTAAACAGGTGCTCCTGCAGTAAATTGCATGCACTTAATATCCCCAGCTAGAATAAATATTGACTTTCAGTCAACAGATAATTTAAAATAAGAATAATAAAAGAAAAAGAAATTATTGTTGGAATTAGGTAAGAAGTCCTCGATTTTACTGAGATGTAGCAAGAATGTATGACTCTCCTTTAAAAATAAACCAACAGCCCAACTTGTTAGCTTCATTACACATTATCATGTAAACATATAAAAAGCAACAGAGAAAACCCACCACTTCAAGAAGTTAGGGGTATTCTTAGAGAGAATAAATGCATGGATATAAACCAAGAGGCTAGTAGTTCAGATATCATTAGTTTGGGCCCATGAAGTGTAAAACTGAAACAAATGAAGTATTTCAGTTAAAAGGTACAAGTCATTCTTCAAACGTCTCTGTTCATTTTAAACTCCTCTTTATTTCCAAAAGGTGAAAAATGAAACCCATGTTAAGTCTTCTGCTGAGCTGGCATTCAGACTGCATAGGTATCCCAGGGGCCTTTCTCCAAGTTCTGTGCAAGGCAATCCTATGTGTGTTGATTGAGTAGTCAGAATCTGTGTTCTAACTTACTCTCAAGTAAATGTACATATGCAAGTTTATCCTGCAATTCTGGGGAGGGGTTATACTATTTGAGCCTTTGAAATGTAAAATGAGCTTTACAATTAAAAAGGAAACTAGCAGTATTTCTTTTGTATAATTTTGTATAATTTCTACAATTATGGTTGATTTTAATTGCTTTTAAAAATCAACTTAATAGTCTTACTCTAACCAAGTATGAACACGTTTAATTTATTGGGATAAGGATAAATATATATCTGGATTAAAAATATCATGGACTGCAGTTTCAACACATTTTATTATATTTCTGTATGCATTACTCTCAAAAAAAAATCACAAGAAATGATGAAACCACATAAACCTCCAAATAAAAAAATTCTGAAACAGTTTATGCTCACAATTGTACATATTTATAGTTAAGAAACATTTTTTATAAATACTGTTTCCTCTGTAGCAAGTTAATACCATAATTTAATTACAAATGGATAAATATGGCAATAGGTATTTACACAAGGAAGGGTGTTATTACGAAAAAAAATCCCTAACAGCACTACATTTATTTTCCCTGCCCCCACCCCCACAAATTTTCAAACAGGAACTAGCAAAAAGCACTAAAACATCACATGTAAACCCAGCTAACAGAAAATACATTCACAAGTGTTGGGAGAAGGGGAAAATTTATCTGGGTCGTTTTGAAAACAACATAGAGACTTTGGCACTTTTTAAAAAAATCTTTCAGATCTATATTTCAATGAAGTTTACAATCAAAGTTGCCTCTTTTAAAGGGAACACAATATTCAATACCACAATTACATGGGGGGGGGAAACCATTTGCTTTCATGTTTTTCCCTTCTCCCCTTTTAAAATTGGTGAATTCAAGAACGAGGAACGAAGAGAAGAGAAGAGAAGAGAAGAGAAGAGAAGAGAAGAGAAGAGAAGAGAAGAGAAGGATGCTCAAGAGGCAGAAAGAGCTCTGAGTGAGAAATGATAAAGGAAAAGCAATCCATAGCTCACAAAGTGGACCAATTTCTATACAATAAGAAAAGGTTGATTACCACCTTGGATTCTTCTATGTACACTGGGAGAGATGGACGAGCTCTGATCTTTTGTTCGCAAGGCGCTTGGAGGACAAATCTCTGCATACGGAACATTTGCAAGTGTGGAGGCAGCGGCTGTCTCTGGGTGTGGAGAACCCTTTGCTGCTTTGAAGAATTCCTTCTCCTTCCTCTCCTCCTTATTCCTCTCTCTCTTTTTTTTTAAAGAGCCCCTCTCCGCATTTCTCTCTCTCTCTCTCTCTCAATCTTTCTCTTTCTCTCTGCTTCGGAATGTTTCGAATTCAAGCAAAAGGAGAAAAAAGAGAGTGAATGAGAGACAAAACAGAGAGTTGCAAAACGGACTCCGACTGCTTGGCCCCCAGGGATCCAAGAAGAGTGGCAGCAGCACTGGGCGTCCTCAGACGTACCACTCGTTGAAATTGGAGGTGAGGCTACTGTGGCTCCCTCCGCCGCCACCGCCGCCGCCGCCGCCGCCGCCCGAGCCACCCGTGCCGCTGCTGCTACCGCTCCGATGAACTGCAGACGCCGCCACCGCTGCGGCGGCGGCGGCGGCCGCAGCAGCTGCCGGAGACAAGTTGGAGGCGGCCGTACTTTGGGTCTCTGTGCTGGGGGACACCAAGCCGGGAGGGGTGGAGGATTCGTAGCCAGAGCTGGCAGCAGGCGAGGAGTCGGAGCCTTGTGGGGAAGATTCATGAACCTATAAGGCAAAGCAACACAATTACTATTATTAGATGTTTAGATTGGATTTGGCCTTTTTAATCCACCTATCGTGTCTTTCCCAAAGATGTTTGATTAAGTTATCGCGGTTGGACGTAAACTGAACCAAAAGCTGCCTTTTACAATTGATAATTTTGTCGATGCCGTGTTCAAGTGGGGCTTGATTTTATTATATTAATAATTAATACTATTTTCCTCCGTTATAAATAAGAACGTTAAAACGGGAAGAAGTCTTTCCAGAGCTAAGGCTGTGAGTCCCCACCGAAGTCCTCCTTAAAAAGGGGTGGTTAATTTCCGTCCTCCCAGACCAGCACAGAGAACCCCAATCCTGTCCTGTGCAAGCTAAAGTTATATAAATCGTGGCGCAGAAAAGCAGGCGTTTCTGATTCAACTCGAGGGCTCCCTCTGCCCCAGGCGAAAGCCCTCATTTCAAGGGGGGGGTCTCTGGCTTCCCATGAGCCCAGGCCGCCTCCTTGGCCATCCCTCGGCTGCTCCTCTCTCTTGCACTTGCTCTCCTTCTCGGGCCCCTCTTAATCCCCTTCCCAGGCCGGCGCCCACGGGTTACCTTCATGTGTTTCCGCAGAGAGCTGGGGTGGGTGTAAGATTTGTCACACATTTTGCACAAGTAGGGTTTGTCCGAAGTGTGGACGTGCATGTGCTTCTTCCGGTCGCTGCTGTTGGCAAAGCGCCTGTCACAGCCTTCGAACTCGCACTGGAAGGGCTTTTCCCCTGCAAGAAAGAAGGACAGAGGCCGGGGTAAATCGCTGCAAAAAAGATCAGCCCACCGAAGCCGGATGCATTATTGAAGGGATCCCCTTTCAGAGCACAAAAATCTGTGGTGAGTGAGTGACTGCAGAGAAAGCAGAATAGGCCAGGCCTATAGGAAGACGTTATTCAGTGATCAAATGGCCACTTTATTTCTAAGCACCTTAATTTGAAAATCCCGGATACTTTCTCGCGCTAAGAAGGGTAAAAGGCGGCAGTGCAGTATGGCGGAATTTAGGTAAAACATGACAATCAGGAAATTTGAGAAAGTTCCGGGAGCTGTAAACTTTGTCTTCGAGGCAGACATAAACAGAGAGAGAGAGATCACACGTGTGAAAGACAACCTGTGGCCATTGTTTCAAATCCTAAATTCCCCGGGGAAAGCAAGAGAACGCGGCCTTGTTTCTATTTCGGGATACAGCTTAGAAGCAAAATTAGCTTCTCAGGTCAATCCAGATTTAATAAAACTAACCAGCACGGCGACCCAAGATCTGAAAAAGTGCTGTATTTTTTTAAAATATTTTTTTGGGGGGGCTAATGGAAGGGACATTGGAAATTAATCCTGGTAGATCTGCCTGGGATGTTGGATGGCAATGGGGAGGGGGGGAAGTATGTGGGAAAGGACTATGGAAGGAAATGCCTCCAAAATCTTTTCTTGGAATATTCTTCGACCTTTTTCACCCTGTTACCAGATTTCCGAGTAATTTGTAGGTGTGAGAATTCAAATACCACAACCTCCGCTCCCCTCCCACTAAATCGGAGGTGGGAGAGATGAGCAATTTCACAAGAAATTCCATTAGTACGTAAATTGTTCCTTAAAGGCAAACCGCTCAGTGCCAAATCACGGCCATCTCCCTGCAAATCAACGTCTCGGGTTTGTTAAACCTCGTTAAAACCTGTCTGGCACCTCGGTTCGTCCTTAACACGTCAACAACACAACCAGAAAGGCCCAGAGAGGTCTCTTCGTTAATACTGATGTCCGGAAATCGCTCAAATATTTGACTTTTTTTCAGGGACGGGAAAAGAAAAGAAAAGAGGAGGGGGAAAAAAAAAGGCAAAAAAAGTCTGGGCTCAAATGTGACCGCGAGAAAAACCCTTGGAAACTGACGCCCTTTTGAATTTCATCGCTTGGATTTAGCTGCAAAATCGCGGGTCGTTTTGGCCCTATAAATCAGAGGATTCTAAGCCTGAAGGTTACATTTTCCGGCGGTTGTTTGCATAATATAAACAAGATAATTCAAAAACGCTTCAGGGGCTGCGACTGAGACTTTCAAAATGAGAAAGTGTTATTTCTTATCCCCTTAAAATGAAATGAAAAGTAACAGCATCGCTCTGCGGAAGGAGGGACGCCTTGTTCAAAAACAGAACTCGTTTGGGAAGAAAAGCAAATCTACTTTCAGTTTTTACAGCGCCGTATCTTATTCATTCTCCTGGATAATGCAGTTAATGCGCGTATTTCGGTAACTTTCCAGACCTCTACATATTTATGCAGCAATAAATCGGATGGATTTCTAAGTCAGTGTCCTCGGAATTGTAATATTTATTGTGCAAGTAATCCTCGAAATCTCCGAGTTTCCCTTTGTTGTTACGCTCAGAAAGGACGGAGGGGTAGAGCTCGCTTTTGCCGCCTTACTCCCCACCCGCATTTCCAACTCTAGCGTGGCCGGTGCTTCGGTCGTCCAAGGAAAATCCCTGGTTCCTAACTAAATTTACTTAAACTCACGTTTGGTTTTACTCCGAAAGAGAAGCGCAAAACTCAATAGCGAGACTCGCGTGGACCTTTAAAAATATTCCTTTAAAAAAATATGCCAAAAATTAAAGCTCCGTAAACACAGAGATAAAATAAACTAAAGGGTTTACCAGCCGTGGTCCGTGTAGACTGAGGAGCGAGGCGAAGGAAGGAAAAAAGAAAGCAAACCTTTCTATTTGAGTTTGAGCGGATTTTTTTTAACCGATCTGCCCACCCCGCGGCCACCATCCATCCGCCCCCCCCTCCCCGCTTTCTTCCTCGTCCGTTCCGACTGACCTGTGTGCGTCCTTTTATGGATCTTGAGGTTCTCGGAGCGGGCGAAGACCTTGCCGCATCCCGGGAAGGGGCAGGGGAAAGGCTTCTCGCCCGTGTGCACGCGGATGTGGTTGACCAGCTTGTACTTGGCCTTGAAGGGCTTCCCTTCGCGCGGACACTCCTCCCAGAAGCAGATGTGGTTGCTCTGCTCGGGGCCCCCGACGTGCTCGACGGAGACGTGGGTGACCAGCTCGTGCATGGTGCTGAAAGTTTTATTGCAACTCTTTTTGGGGCTGCTGAGCTGCTCCGGGTCGATCCACTTGCAGATCAGCTCCTGCTTGATGCATTGCTGGCGCATGTAGCGGAAGAAGGCCCCGGGGTGGTGGTGGTGATGGTGGTGGTGGTGGTGGGCGTGCGGGTGGGCGTGCGGGTGGTGAGCGTGGTGTGCCGCCATGTTCATGCCCATGTTCATATTCATGGGGCCGTATTGGCCGTGCAGCTGGGCCGCCGAGTAAGGATCAGTTCGGGGGCTGGCCACCTGCCGGTACTGATCCGACCGGCCGAAGACTTCTCCGGGTAAGCCCAAGCGCATCTGCCCGTTGAGTACGTTGGGGGAACCGGGAGCGCCATGCTGATCTCCGATGCCCGGGAAGAGCAGGTGGCTCTGCGCCTCCGCGTGCGGGTGGTGGAGGCTGCCGGTGGCCGCCGCTGCCGCCGCCCCAAAGAGCCCGTGCTGTCCGCCGCCTCCCGCCGCCGGCTCCCCGAAGCCTCGGCTCCGAAACAAGAAGTCCCGCGGGGAGTTGAAAGGCGGCCCGGAGTAGGAGCCGACATGGGCGGCGTGCGGGTAAGCCGGTGCCTGCGAGCTGAAAGCCGAGCCTTGTCCCGGGGAGAGCTCGTGAGCCGCCGCCGCCGCCGCCGCCGCGTTGAGCTTGAAGGCCCCCAGGTGAGCCGCCGCCGCCGCCGCCGCCGAGTCCACGAAGCTGTTCTGCAGGCTCAGTTCGCGCTCTTGCATCTCCGCCGCCGACGGGGGCGGGTGCCGGGCGAACGTGCCCACTCCCAGCGCGGGGAACTGCGGCCCCGCATCCAGCAGCATGCCGCTCGAACCCCCCTCCAAGGTCCGGGGCTCTGGGCTGCCGCCGCCGGAGCGAAAGAAAGAACGAACGAGCGGGGAGCCGCCGAGGCGAGTCCAGGCGCAGGCGGCCACCCGAAAGGTATTAAACGGCTGAGGCGGGGGCGGGCCGTCCGTCCGTCCGGCAGGCAAGCAGGCGGGAAGGGCAGCCCTGAAGGGACGAAGGCAGAGAAGGGTCCGGGGAGAGGAAGGGGGCGAGAGAGAAAGGCAGAGAGAGAGAGAGAGAGAGAGAGAGAGAGCGGTGGGGGGGGGGGGGGGGGGGGGGGGGGGGTCTCGCTTTTCCCTGGGAAAATAAAAACACAAGGCACAAACCCCCGGCGAAGAGATGTCAGCGCCACAGTCACACCAACAGCCTCTCGCACACACAGGCGAGCCGCTATATAGTGAGAGCCGCGCGCGCTCGTTCGCGCGCACGCACGTACACACAAGGGAGGAAAAGAAGTGCGCGCGCACGCGCGGGCGGGCGGGCGAGAGTGGCGGCTTTCCCCTCACACGACACACACGCTTCCCCGAAAACAAACACGCCGTCCGCCTCAGCCGCGCTTCTCCTCCTCCTCCTCCTCCTCCCTCCCGCCCCCCCCCCCCCCCACACACACACACACTCCCGCTCCCGGCCCCGCTTGGGGATCACTGCCCTCCTTCTCTTTCGCCGCTGCCCGCCATTCGCTTTGCCTGACCGGCTCCCAAACTTGCCAAAGGCGCCGCCGCGGCTTCCTCAGCTAGGAAGGAAACCGGCCGCCTTTTTTCTCGCCACAACCACCCAACCGCTCACTTTAAGTTGGGGAGGGTGGGGGGGAGGGAGGGAGGGGGGCGGGGGGGAGGGGGGAGGGGGGGGGGGGGGGGGGGGAGAAAGCAAAGGAGAAAAGAAGGCAGTCCGGAACAATAAGGCAGGCGGTGGGAAGTGCCCCAATGTGCGTCCCTCAGGCCGGGCGCGGGTCCCACTCAGGCATGGCTAGCGCCCTCCATGAACAGGCTCCAGCCGCGAGGGGGAGCGGGCAGAGCCGGTCCTTCCTCCTCCTCCTCCTCCTCCTCTCCCTTCTCTCTTTGGCGCGCGCGGAGGGGGGGGGGCGTCCTCCCTGGTCTTCCCTTCGCCTCTCCTCCTCGTTTCCTTGTTGAGGTGGGCGCCGCTGCGGTGGCTGGTTTTTATCCCCCCGCTCTCCACCCGCGTCTCCTCCCAGCCTCTCCCGCTAGCTGTTAGGCTGGACTGGCAGCTCCTCTCCCACCGCCCCCTTTAACAGCAGCCAGGCCGTTCTCCAGGCGCCCTCTCATTGGTCGCTCCGGCCCATCAATCCGAGACTTCCCCCCCCCTAGATGGGCTAATCGCCACTCGCGACTCCCGGGCTCCGATCCGCCTCCTCTCTCTCCTTCGCCCCGGGTAGCGGGCAGCGCTCTCCGAGTCCCGGTGGGCACCTCCTTCCCCCCGAGCCAAGGCGAGAAAGAGGCAACCTTTGGATCCGAGGGCAGAGAGGACAAGCTGGCCGGGAGGGGGAGGAGGGGATCGGAGACCGCTGACCGCAGCCAGCGCCGGGCAGAGCTTGGGGCGCGGAGAAGGGAGCAAAAGCAGCAGAACCTCCCCGGGGACTTCAGTCTCCCCGCAGAAGGGAGGGACCCCGTCACCCTGAACTCTCAAGGGGTGGGGCAGGAGGCTGGGGAAGCGGCTGACTACGAAGGAAGAGCCGCTAGTAGGAAATGGCTCGGCGGGAAGAGGCAGGCAGCGGTAGCCCCTTCGGAAGATGCCCTAAGGCTTGGGCGAAACCGACGGGGGTTCCTAAACCTCTTCCCCGCCCCTCCCTTCCCAGGAGAGAGGCTGCGCGGAAGACACGGGTGCAAATAGAGATGTCTGCGCCTTGTGTCAAGGAAGAGAGAGGGACGGTTGGGGGTGGCCAGGAGGGGGGGGCAAGGCAGCTGGCCGCACGTCGGGGAGGGCAACGCGGAGAGGCAGGCAGGCAGGCAGGCCCTGCAACCCGGCCTTGAGAGATCCGGGCGCGCGTGAAAGAGCGAGATGGGACGAGCGGGGTCAGAATCGGCTGTCGGTTCTTGGGGGTTGAAATCGGACCAAAAACATCCTGTGAAAATTCCCAACCTTCGCTTCTACTAGGCACGTAACTGGATCCGCGTTATTCTGCGTAAATGGACCCCAGAAAACAACAATCCTAAAATAACAACAGTAACAAGAAGTAATGGCGCCATCTTCTTTCTTCCATTTAGCAAAACTAATAACCCGCTTGTGAGGCTCTAGAAAATCCCGAAAGCAGTTCTTCCTTTTAAATTGTATTTGTTTTATGAAGCTACAATTCTACAATTGCAGAATTCTACAACTCTTCTGTTCAAAAAATAATTACTATTACTATTACTATTATTATTATTATTATTATTATTATTATTATTATTATTATTATTATTATTATTATTTATTAATTTCTTAGCATGGGCCTGTTTTTAAACCGATTTTGGAAGGAAGATTAGTTAGGCGGTAAATGCTTAAAATATATTGTGCGGACTTGTAGACAGGACGTCATACAAGATTTAACACTTTTGGACAAATCCTTTTGTTTTACTTATGCTTTATTTCGCCCCCCTTCCCCGCGTACACACAAACACAAACACACGCAGAAAATAATTATGAAATAAATAAGTCTTTTACCCCCAGCTACCCAGAAGTAAACCCGGACAGAGGTTGCTTCTTCGCCCTGAGCCGAGGCTTTGACAGCCGAAAAGAGCTTTGAAGACGAAGCGCTGCCTCTCACTGCTTCCCCGCCTCGGGAGGGCGAAGCGGGCTCGCCGACCATTTCACTGGCTTTTACCGCGTCCCCGGGCCAGACTAGCTGCCCAGCGCCTCCGCTTCTCTGACCGGCTGGCGGGAGGAGGCGGAGGAAGAGGAGGAGGAGGAGGAGGGCGGAGAGGGCAACCCCGAGAGACGCGCCCTCTCGTTTATTGATCTGGCCAGCCTGTATTGCGGAGCCTCGCCTTTCGTCCCTTTTTGGAATCGGGAGCTCGGGCGGCGGGCAAAAAAGCTGGGCCAGAGGTGGTGGCGGCGGCGGCAGCGGAGAAGCCGGTCTCGGCCTCTTCCAAACTCCCGATATCCGGCGAACTTGACCGCGGCGCAATTGTACGGGCGGTGTACGCGGCCTGAACCCGTCCGCTCGAGGATCCGTTCCACCCGGTGTTAGGGAAGTTAATGGGGAAACGGCGTCTTGCTTCCCTCTGTTTTGTTCAAAGAAAGGAAGGGAATGCGCCCACAATGGTTGTGAAGGTGGCCTTCCTTCCTTCCTTCCCTTCCCTTCCCTTCCTTCCTTCCTTTCTTCCTTTTTCTTCCTTCCTTCCTTCCTTTTCCTTCCTTCCTTCCTTCCTTCCTTCTCCTTCCTTCCTTCCTTCCTTCCTTCCTTCCTTCCTTCCTTCCTTCCTTCCTTCCTTCCTTCCGCATAGCGGCCTCCTCCCTCTTGATTGTCCAGGACGGTTGGGTGTCTGAATAAAATAGTTTCTTCCAGCAGGAAACTCCGTAGGCTCAAACTCTGCGCTTTTCTTCCAAACTTCGTTTCTCCTTTCTTTGCAGAAAGTTCAAAGCTTGACCGCCGACCTTCTTTCTGCTTCTCCCCCTCCCGCTTTATTTGTCTCCAAACCGCAGAACCTTCTCGTTCTCCCCACCCCCCCACCCCCCGCCACCATGTCACGGCGGTGACCAGGAAAGGGGGGTGGGTGGGAGAGAGAGAAGCTCCTAGAAACAAGCCTGCCGTCTCTTTCATGGGCCATTGGCCGAAGTGCAGCCTTCACAGCGCCGCCTTTACCAGGAGAGAAAGCAGCCGGCAGGCAAAGTTCCTTGGGAAAGTGAGGTCCGAGGCATTTCTTGAAGCTCTGGTCTGCACGGTCTGGGAGGCTTCTCAGGAGCAACTCTTGGGAAAACATGTCCCTGACTTGTAAGTTTATTTCTTTTCCCGTTTCTGCCTTTTCCTTTTCCAGACTGAGAAGGTGGCAGGATTGGCTATATTTTGTGGTCTTACTATTTCCCATAACCGGCCACTTTGAGATTCCTGCTCCTTGAAATTGACGTCTGGAGTCACAGGAAGGGAACCCATGAGATCCTTTTGCCTCTCGGCGGGTCTCTGCAGAACCTCCCGCTTCCTTTGATGCCGGAAAAGATTTTCTTGGGCCAGAGGATAGCCTCCTAAGTGTAGATAACCGTACAGAAAAAGTATATACAAAGTGTGGAGAATCCAACTTTTGCTTAGCTGTAAACCTTTTCTCAAGGAGAGCTCCAATTTTCGATTCTTCCCAAACCTGCTTCTTAGTATGCTTCTCTTAGGCCTCCCGGTTTTCCCTGAATTTACTTAAGGCTAGACAAATGTAAACCTGCAGCCTGAATTAGAAATTCTAAGGAAGTGTGTGGAATGTAAATCTCTTAAATCTTTTTCAACCTAGCCAAAGATAAAGTATCTTAAAACAGAATGCTGCTTGCTTGAGAATTAATTCCATGTTATTTAGGGGCTCCTCCCCGCCCCCATTGAATGTGCCTCAGTTTAACATGGCCTGTCTATTGTTATTAGGCTGGTTTCTTTCCCATTGAAACCCAAACTTTTTTTAAAAAAATTCATTCTTAAGATCCAAATCTGTCAGATAATGCGTTGAGCGTCCATGCTGGATTTCTTTATTCTTCAGGTTGATTAGAGTTGTTTCTAAATAAAAGTGTTTAGAGTTTGCATGATTTGTGCGTGGTGCGTTTGTTTTAAATAGTGGTGGGAGCAGAATTTTGAGAAAGGGAAAAGAGAGGACGAGTAAGATTTCCTGGTAACATTCCATTTTTACATTATAAATTCAGCCTGTAAAGTCAACCCAAATTACTATGAATTGGTGGAGGAGGGTCTGCCCCCCCCCCACCTATTTCTTCAGATCTGCTTGCCTGGGATTGTTGTCTGTATCACAGGCGTTTACAAATTCAACAGGCTCATCAACAGGAGGTTCCCAAACTCAAGATCAACCATTTCTAGGCCCTTCAACCTCTGACCTTTGAAGACCAGAAGAAAGAAGGATCTGTAGAGGGCAGCGTCCTTTTGTAATCTACACTTTGGAGTGGCCACCATCGGAACCAATGGGATCCTCTCCCCTCTTTTTGTTGTTGTCAGGATTCTGACAGAAAGCCGAGGGAGAACCTCTTACATATCATGACACTCTCAGCCAAAGATATATATATAACTTTTGAAAGACTGGGCTAAAAACAACATGCGGGCACAATAGCAATAGAGGTCAAAGAAGAAGCCATCTTCACCTTCCCCCTTCAATCCTATTAACATTTATCCTTCGCCCTTGGCTAGAGACTGTGGCCCTTTGGAGCACAAGGCTTTTGGGGAAGAGAAGAGAATCAGAGTGGGGTTCCAGATGCCAAGGTACTGGGCTGCTTAAAATCTGCCTAAGCTCTGTGTGTCTGTGTGTCAAAATGTCAATAGAGGAAAATGCACAACTTTGATGAAATTCATCACTTTTGAGTGGAAGTACAATTAACCCAATGATTAAATCTTTTTTGTTTGTTTACAAAAATCAGATCCTTTTAAAGAAGCATGTATAATGAAAGAGACTCAGAGGTTTTCCTTGGCATGTCTTGCCCTGCTTTTTGCGGCCTCTCTCCAGCTGTGGGGCTGGCCAGCTGGCCTTGTTCTGGGAATGCAGAACAAGTGGCAGCTTGAGGATGCCTTTCCCTCACTTGCTACAGCTGGGGTCAGATCCTTCCTGCTGCCATTCATAAGGAAGGGGAGCATCCGGGAACCATATTGCTTATACTTGGGGA